AACTTTGCCTACTGCCCAATTACCATCCTGAATAAGAGGGCCAAGGTCCATACCCGTGGGTTGTTTGACCAAGGGTCCCAGAGAACATATGTCACTAAAAAGTTGGCAGATGAACTACAGTTAAAGCCTGTAGCTCAGACGACAATCAACATCTCAGGGTTTCTAACAGATACTGGACCTCAAGTCTACCAGGTGGTACAACCATCAGTACGTTTAGGCAGATACGTCTGTCAAGTACAAGAGATTGTGGTGGACAAAATACCAGTAGACCTACAAGTTCAAGGTCTGAGAGCAACAGCCAAATTCCTTAGAAATAGAGGAATAAAATTGGCAGATAATATTAAGTCTGATCACCTCACCGACTTCGGTATCCTTGTAGGGACAGACTACTACCATCGATTCATCGGTAGCCCTACTAAATATCAAGGCATAACCATGCTAAATTCTGCAGGAGGCAAATTAATCTCAAGGTCAGTATTAAGCCTGAGGAGACCTATGCCTGCAGATAAACCATACCAGTAGAAATCTAAATTTGTCAGCTGATTATATTTCTCCAGTAGCATTATACTAAGGAGATTACAGCTGACTATAGCAACAGAGGTTGATGTTAATATCATCATTTAAAGCTGAAGCTGAGTTCATGAGGCCTCAGTGGCAAATCAGTGAACAGTAGCCTAAACAGCTACAAGTCACTGCGACCAATGTCACTGAACCCACTGCAGTCTCAGAACCATTCTTTACTTTAATGATGGGCTATTCAATCCTCTGAATCAATTAACTAAATTAAACCCCAATAAATCTGACGAATGATTTTGATACATTTATTATTTAATCAAGATGAATTCCATGGGCCTGGGTGTTTATATATCAGTGACCAGTTACCTGAACAAGCTTCAAGTTATATCTAATGTCACTGATCTCACTGCAGTCCCTGAATCATACTTGACTGTAGTACTTGATCACATTCAGTCTTCTGGGTTAAATAATATGTAATTAGGCTTGAATTTTAGCCTTTCAAGAGTTAACAGGAAACAGGAGCCTCTTCAATGCGACTCGAGCAAACAGCTTTCCGACAATACTGAGGAGGGAGATTCCACGGTAGTTGTTGCAGTCGCCCCTGTCACCTTTATTCTTATACAGTGTGACGATGTTGGCATCCCTCATGTCCTGTGGCATCCCTCCTTCTTCCCAGCAGAGGCAGAAAATTTCATGCAGCTCCATGAGCAGGCTACCTCTGCAGCACTTCAAGGTCTCAGCAGGAATGCCATCTTTGCCAGGAGCTTTACCAGAAGCAAGGGAGTCTAGGGCATCGCTGAGTTCTTCCAGGGTCGGTTTACTGTCGAGCTCCATTAACACAGGCAGACACTCAATGGCGCTCAGGGCATCTTTGGTGACCACATTGTCCCTGGCGTATAGCTCAGAGTAGTGCTCGACCCAGCGCTTCAGCTGCAGTGTCTGGTCCTGAATCACCTCGCCAGGGGCAGATTTCAGAGGAGCGGTCTTCCTCTGGATTGGGCCGAGGGCCTGCTTGATGCCGTCATACATTCCCCTTACATTGCCTGTATCCGCTGCAGTCTGTATCTGGGAGCAGAGTTGGAGCCAATAGTTGTTGGCACATCGCCTGGCATTCTGCTGCACTTTGCAGCGGACGGCCCGAAGGATCTGTAAGTTGCGCTGACTTGGGCAGGCTTTGTAGGCTGCCAATGCGTTTCTCTTCTCTTCGATGACAGGTGCCATCTCTTCCGAGTGAGCCTCGAACCAGTCTGCCGACCTGCTGGTCTTCTTGCCAAAGGTGGAAATGGCAGCGTTGAACACAGTGTCTCTGAGGTGCTCCCATCTTTTACAGGCAGTGACCCCAGCTGGGCCAGGGAGAGCTTCCTCGAGCACGCGTGCAAAATCTTCCACCTTGTCCTGGTTGCGGGTCTTGGTGGTGTCGATGCGAGGTCTGCCCGCCTTTTTCGAGTGATGAATCTTCTTTGGTTGCATCTTGACCCTGCTACATACCAGGGAGTGGTCGGTGTCACAGACAGCACTCTGGTAGCTACGCGTAATCTTGACGCTGGGTAGACTTGCACGCCTGGTAAGAATCAGGTCAAGCTGGTGCCAGTGCTTGGATCTGGGGTGTCTCCAAGATACTCGGTGTTGAGGCTTTGTGCCGAAGAACGTATTGGTGACACAAAGACCATGAAGGCAGCAGAGTTCTAGCAGACGTTGCCCGTTCTCATTCATCCTCCCTATGCCGAATTGACCCAGGCAAGTGGGCCAAATGTTGTGCTCGGCACCCACTCTGGCGTTAAAGTCGCCGAGGATGAACAGTGGCTCCTTTACAGGGATTCTCGCTATGACTCTGTTGAGGTCATCGTAGAATTTTTCCTTTGCCTCTGCTGGAGAAGTCAGGGTTGGTGCATATGCACTAATTACATTGACTGGTCCTGTTTGGGAGTGCAGTTGCAGAGACAGAATTCGTTCGGTTTCCCCCATCGGTGGCATAATGTGTCCCAACAGTGCATTCCTGACGGCAAATCCCACACCATGTTCTCTGGTCTCATCTGGAGGTTTTCCTTGCCAGAAGAAAGAGAAGGTCCTCTCTCTCACAGATCCTGATCCTGGGAGCCTGGTCTCTTGGAGAGCAACAATATCCATCTGCAGCTTGCTCAGCTCCCTATCGATGATTGCTGTTTTTCGGGCGTCATTGATTTCTTGCAGGTCGTCAGAGAAACCTGGTGTCAGTGTCCTGACATTCCATGTGCCCAGCTTTAGGGCAGTTGATATTTTCTTGTTTGGCTTGGTATATATATATATATATATATATATATATATATATATATATATATATATATATATATATATATATATATATATATATATATATATATATGTATATATATATATATATATATATATATATATATATATATATATATATATATATATATATATATATATATATATATATATATATATATATATATATATATATATATCTTGCGTGGTCATTGCAACATCCTTCCTCTTGCCTCTGTCATGCTTTAACTTTTACCCCTCCTGTAGTTCCTGTTAATCTTCACCACGTCACTCTTCGGTTATCTCGTTATCTCTGTTCGGTTATCTCGCTTACAGGATTCTCTTTTAGTTCGTATTTCTAATATTTTTCCTCGTATTGTTCCTTCCTTACCCCCGTGGAGAGTCCCCCTTCCGACGTTTTGTACGTCCTTGACCCGCATCACTAAAGCTTTTACCCCTCCTACGGTTCTGAAACGCCTTTTGCTTAAGCACTTTTCTTCGCATTCCTGCTCTGTTTCCATCTTCACCGATGGGTGTAAGTCTGCAGACGGTGTAGGCTACTTTGTTGTTTTTCCTGCCCGCACTTATATGTGTCGCTTACCTCCGGAGACTAGCATCTTCACAGCAGAACTTTATGCTATTCTCTATGCTCTTCGTCTCCTGCTTTCTCGTTGTCAATCCTCCTTTGTGGTTGTCGTTGGCTCTCGTAGTGCCCTCATGGCTCTTGGGTCCTTAATCCGGTCTATCCAGTGGTCGTCGAGATTCAGTATTGGCTGTTTCTTATTTCCAGAAAATTTAAGCCAGTTGAGTTTTGCTGAGTTCCCAGCCATATTGGTGTCTCTTTAAATGAGCGTGCGAATGCTGCCGCTGGGGAAGCTGTCTGCTCTTGTCCCATCTCTCGTAAAAGTATTTCTTATTCCGACTTTTTTCTTATTCCGACTTTTACTCAGTTATTCATTCCTCCATCCTTACCAGTAACAGAAGACCAACAATCCCGCCAATGGGTAACAAACAGCATACTCTTAAGAGTAGTATGTCCTCTTGGCCTTCCTCCTACCACCATAACCAGCGATGAGAAACGGCTCTGGCGAAGTTGCGTATTGGCCATACACGCTTAACTCACAGTCACTTAATGGAGCGCCGCCCTGCTCCTTATTGTCCAACTTGCATTGTCCCTCTTACTGTCGTGCATATCCTTGTTGAATGTCCTGACTTCCAGGACGAGCGTGTGTCTTGCTTTCCGACCGCCCCTCGCGGTCGCTTGTCCCTGGATGGAATTCTTGGTGAATCGGGTACTATTGATATCGTTCACCTTATGCGTTTCTGTTCTCGTATTGGCATCCTTGGTGATATTTAGCGCCCTCTGATTATTCCGCACATTATTTGATGGTGCTACATTGCCTTCCCGGTTTGGTGCCTTATTTTGATAATTACTTACTTGGTCTAATCACTAGAAACGTTTTGGTGGGAACACCCACCGCATAGATTCGATCCCTCATCACGGCTCCTACGGATTGCCTCACATAACATAATCTTAACATAATCTCCCATCACTAAGTGCTCCAATATGGCCTGCCGTTTTAAATTGTTAAACATAACAATTTAGGGAGAGGAAGGTGGGGAGAGGTGGCCAGGCTTCAGATGTGCTCATGTAGGATGAAAGTCTAACCATAATTAACGATCTGTATAATTTGTTACATATAAAGTTTCCAAATCTAATTCTAAGGATTGGGAAATAAAAAGTATATGTAACTAGTTCACCATACAATTTCTTAGGTTAAAGATCACTGGGGTCAAGCATCCGAGTCCATTGTGTCACTTACCTAATGGATGTAATATGGGGGTCCTCAACAGTCTAAGTAAACTAACTATTTTAGCTGAAATAAGCTTCAGGGTCTGTATTCCTCAGGTGATCCAGCACCCTGTGAGTGGTGGCGAGGGGTGTCGTTCACGAGTACTTTCTCATCAACACATCAACTCTATAATATTCGCTAACGTTGCCTCACCTTTACAAATTCAAGTTAATGTTTAATAATATATACAGGAGTACAATGATTAAGGCACCTGGCCATGGGCGAGCTCATTGACTCAATGTGGACCAGTCCTGAAGCCAATATAATGTGTTCCTACCCAATATCTAAAGCACTTGCCTTCACAAAATGCACTTCATCATACTCTAATTACTTCGCTGTTACATATTATTAATATATACTTACTTAACGGTCTTGGCAGGTCTCTCAATCAGCAAAAGTTGACGGGAAAGCAGTAGAGAGTAACTCCACCCTACACCTTGAGATAGTAGTGAGAGAATGAGGCTAGTGACGCCCAGTGGTGTCATTATCAGTTGCACTTGGACACTATCTTGTTGTCAAGGCATTGATGGTGACAGCTTGTGTATTCTTTCAGTAAGAAATCAACCAAATTAATTTTAGTTTAACAAGCAATTGACATCACTATATACACACGCCGAAGAGACAACCATCTGTTATCAAAATTGCATTTGAATTGTTGCAAATGCCAGAATTCTCCTGCAATTAGCTCTATTTCATATTATGAAATTCATATAAACATTATGATAGAGTCTTATCATGAATGACCAAGATAGGCATGATAAGTCAGGCATGGCATGTGGCATGACAAGCCAGACATTGTCATGCCACTGCAAACTACCGAAGAGGGCCGGCTTGCATCCACGGGCCCCGGTGATGACCACAGGTAAGGGCCCCGGTGATGACCACAGGTAAGGGCCCCGGTGATGACCACAGGTAAGGGCCCCGGTGATAACCACAGGTAAGGACCCCGGTGATGACCACAGGTAAGGGCCCCGGTGATGACCACAGGTAAGGGCCCCGGTGATGACCACAGTTAAGGGCCCCGGTGATGACCACAGGTAAGGGCCCCGGTGATGACCACAGGTAAGGGCCCCGGTGATGACCACAGGTAAGGGCCCCGGTGATGACCACAGGTAAGGGGCCCCGGTGATGACCAAAGATAAGGGCCCCGGTGATGGCTAGAGGTAAGGGCCCCGATGATGACCAGAGGTAATAAGGGCCCGGTGATGACCACTTGTATCAGCCCTGGTGATGACCGAAGGTAAGGGCCCCGGTGATGACCACAGGTAATGGCCCTGGTGATGACCAGAGGTAAGGGCCCTGGTGATGATCGCAGGTAAGGGCCCCCGATGATGACCGCACGTAAGGGCCCCCGGTGATGACCACAGGTAAGGGCCCTGGTGATGATTGTAGGTAACGGCCCAGGTGATGACCGCAGGTAAGGGCCCCGGTGATGACCACAGGTAAGGGCCCCGGTGATGACCACAGGTATGGGCCCCGGTGATGACCACAGGTATGGGCCCCGGTGATGACCACAGGTATGGGCCCCGGTGATGACCACAGGTATGGGCCCCGGTGATGACCACAGGTATGGGCCCCAGTGATGACCGCAGGTAAGGGCCCCGGTGATGACCACAGGTAAGGGCCCCGGTGATGACCACAGGTATGGGCCCCGGTGATGACCACAGGTAAGGGCCCAGGTGATGACCACAGGTAAGGGCCCAGTTGATGATACCAGGAAAGGGCCCAGTGATGACCACAGGTAAGGGCCCCGGTGATGACCACAAGTAAGAGCCCTGGTGATAACCACAGGTAAGGTCCCCGGTGATGATAACAGGTAAGAGCCCTGGTGATGATTACAGGTAAGGTCCCCGGTGATAACCACAGGTAAGGCCCCGGTAATAACCAGGGGTAAGGGCCCAGGTAAGGGAGCCGGTTGGCATAGTGGACAGCACGCTGGATTTGTAATCCTGTGGTGTCGGGGTCGATTTACCGGGGGGATATTAATAGGGTATTAAAAGTATCAACACAGGACAGAACACGAAACAATGGATATAAATTGGATAAGTTTAGATTTAGGAAAGACTTGGGTAAATACTGGTTCAGTAACAGGGTTGTTGATTTGTTGAACCAATTGCCGCGTAACATTGTGGAGGTGGGGTCCCTCGATTGTTTCAAGCACGGGCCCCGGTTGGACAAGTATATGAGTGGGATTGGGTGGTTATAGAATAGGAGCTGCCTCGTATGGGCCAATAGGCCTTCTGCAGTTACCTTTGTTCTTATGTTCTTATGTTCTTATCCCGGGCGCCGGCGAGAAACAATGGGCAGAGTTTCTTTTACCCTATGCCCCTGTTACCTAGCAGTAAAATAGGTACCTGGGTGTTAGTCAGCTGTCACGGGCTGCTACCTGGGGGTAGAGGCATGGTCGAGGACCAGGCCGCGGGGACACTAAAGCCCGGAAATCATCTCAAGATAAGGGCTCCGGTGACGACCACAGGTAAGGGCCCCAGTGATGACCACAGGTAAGGGCCCCGGTGATGACCACAGGTTAGGGCCCACGTGATGACAACAGGTAAGGGTCCAGGTGATGATGTTACGGACCCGAGCCCAGCGTCGTAGCACGGAGCTGTGACGACCACGCCATCTGTGGGTCAGCTCCCGAAACCCCCTCCAAATGGACAGCGCCATCTAGTGAGGACGGGATATACCGGCCACAGGGGCTGGTTTCCCGTCTTGATCAGCTCGTAACATTAGTAAGAATTTGATTACTAAGAATTTAAAACAAAAGGATCAATGCATAAATGTTCGTAATAAGGCAAATCGGACACTTGGATTTATTAATCGCAGCGTTAGTAACAAGACACCTGGTGTGGTTCTCAAGCTATATCTTGCTCTAGTTAGGCCCCATTTAGATTATGCAGTTCAGTTTTGGTCGCCATATTATAGAATGGATATAAATTCACTTGAACGTGTCTAGCGTAGGATGACTAAGTTAATTCCCCAAATTAGAAATCTTCCATATGAATAAAGATTAACAAATCTTAAGTTGCATTCACTGGAAAGGCGAAGAGTTAGGGGTGACATGATAGAGGTTTACAAGTGGGTGAATGGACATAACAAAGGGGATATTAATAGGGTATTAAAAGTATCAACACAAGACAGAACACGAAGCAATGGGTATAAATTGGATAAGTTTAGATTTAGGAAAGACTTGGGTAAATACTGGTTCAGTAACAGGGTTGTTGATTTGTGGAACCAATTGCCGCGTAACATTGTGGAGGTGGGGTCCCTCGATTGTTTCAAGCATGGGTTGGACATGTATATGAGTGGGATTGGGTGGTTATAAATAGGAGCTGCCTCGTATGGGCCAATAGGCCTTCTGCAGTTGCCTTTGTTCTTATGTTCTTTTGTTCTTAACATAGCTGCTGCTGACCTCTGGTGAGGTGACGCTTAGACAGCAACGCCATCTATGGAGTGGATAGGTGGGCGTTTGTGTCTAAGCCTGTAAGTGAGGTGCCCTAGGGTGTCCCTAGTACTGATGACGTGTTTGATTACAGAGTCGACCTGGGACTGCTGGATTGGACGATGGGCAGTCTACCCAAGGCAGCCTAAGTCTCTCCACGTGTTTGCTGCAGAAGCTGTGAGTCACCCCCGAACGGACACTGTTGAGTGTGTTAGCCTGCCTGTGACGTGGCAGTACCGGGAATTGTCTTATCTGGGGGCTGGCTGGTGGGAGAGACTGGCCACTGTGGTGCAGAGAGAGGAGAGTGATCTGCGGAATCACACGAGGCTCCTGCCTAGGGCTCGCAACCCTAGTATCGGTCGTGGAGTGGCCTACACAGCGGAGCTGATTGGAACCTGCCAGCTACAGGCTGGATTTGTGGTTGAAGGCCTCCACGACGCTGCACCCAGTGGGACTGTAATTTGGCTGGCCTGTGGCCGGGGTAGATTCGCCAAAGAGAATCAAAGGATTCATCGTGGGCCACGAAGAAGAGAACCAGGGCTACTCATCGTGAGCACCGTGGAGCATCCCGCATCTTCAGAGGAAGACGATTCTGTACATTGTGTATTTATAGCAACCCCGTGTGACAGTTTATATATTTATTTATAGTGGTGGTGATTATATATAGATAAGCCAGTGAAGTTGTATCCCTTCCCCTTTTATTTAACTTGCGTTACGGAACACACCCCTTGAAAGCCACTACTAACTTGGGGCCGGATACCCAAACTCTAATAACATCAGAGAAGAACCCGGATGCGACCCAATAGGGCCGTAACAGATGACCACAGGTATGGGCCCAAATGATGACCACAGGTAAGGGCCCCGGTGATGACCACAGTTAAGGACTCCGGTGATGATAACAGGTAAGGGCCCCGATAATGACCACAGGTAAGGGGCCTGGTGATGAATACAGGTAATGGCCCCGGTGATGATAACAGGTAAGGGCCCAGGTGGTGATGACTACAGGTAAGGTCCCCGGTGATGATAACAGGTAAGGGCTCAGGTGGTGATGACTACAGGTAAGGGCCCCCGGTGATGATAACAGGTAAGGGCCCAGATGATGACTACAGGTAAGGGCCCAGGTGGTGATGACTACAGGTAAGGGCCCAGGTGGTGATGACTACAGGTAAGGTCTCCGGTGATGATAACAGGTAAGGGCCCAAATGATGACCACAGGTAAGGGCCCCAGTGATGATAACAGGTAAGAGCCCTGGTGATGATTACAGGTAAGGTCCCCGGTGATAACCACAGGTAAGGCCCCCGGTAATAACCAGGGGTAAGGGCCCAGGTAAGGGAGCCGGTTGGCATAGTGGACAGCACGCTGGATTTGTAATCCTGTGGTCCCGGGGTCGATCCCGGGCGCCGGCGAGAAACAATGGGCAGAGTTTCTTTTACCCTATGCCCCTGTTACCTAGCAGTAAAATAGGTACCTGGGTGTTAGTCAGCTGTCACGGGCTGCTACCTGGGGGTAGAGGCATGGTCGAGGACCAGGCCGCGGGGACACTAAAGCCCGGAAATCATCTCAAGATAAGGGCTCCGGTGACGACCACAGGTAAGGGCCCCGGTGATGACCACAGGTAAGGGCCCCGGTGATGACCACAGGTTAGGGCCCAGGTGATGACCAGAGGTAAGGGCCCCGGTGATGACCAGAGGTAAGGGCCCCGGTGATGACCAGAGGTAAGGGCCATGGTGATGACCAGAGGTAAGGGGTCCTGGTGATGACTGCAGGTAAGGGCCCTGGTGATGACCAGAGGTAAGGGCCATGGTGATGACCAGAGGTAAGGGGTCCTGGTGATGACTGCAGGTAAGGGGTCCCGGTGATGACCAGAGGTAAGGGCCATGGTGATGACCAGAGGTAAGGGGTCCTGGTGATGACTGCAGGTAAGGGCCCCGGTGATGACCAGAGGTAAGGGCCATGGTGATGACCAGAGGTAAGGGGTCCTGGTGATGACTGCAGGTAAGGGCCCTGGTGATGACCAGAGGTAAGGGCCATGGTGATGACCAGAGG